CACGTATTCCTTTCACAGCACAGAATGATGATGTTACACTAACAAAAAACCCCAATTGTGCTATACTGCATTATAGTGGCAAATAACAGGATTCTGCCATGTTATCAATGTTTTCTTCTTTATAGGTGTTTTCAGCTGTTACTTTCTGGCACCAATGCATTTACCTTTACAAATTCATTCAAGCCTATAATTTAGAAAATAACTAGATCTGCGTAATTTGGGGAGTGTGTATGTGTATTAAAACCATAGCTTGTATTAAGGTGAAGTTTGAGGTCTTGCCTAGCTTTGAATAGAGTTATTGGGTCAATGATGATGAAATTTTGTTGATGTATTTTTATAAAGTAGGCTGGATCGTCTTAATGTATTCTAGGATAGTACCAAGAGAAAAATACCTAGATAGAAAGTAATTGCTTTTGACAAATGCGAGAGTAAGCATCTTGAACTGTATTTTGGAATCAATACTGATACTGACTTTGAATGGAGAACTTTATTTGCAGTATGTTAAATTTCTGTAACCCTTTTCTAAGGAATGTATTTGTTTTACAGACATCTGTTACTTTACTGTTGCCTGGTTCCCAGAAGCAAGTAACAGAGACCTAAGACTGCCTCATACCAGGAAGGGGCCTGACCCTGTAAAACTTAGTGTACGAAAATAAACTTACTGAACTAACAAGTAGAATATTCACTGATTTTTGAGTTGTTGAACCCTTTTGAGGGAATAAATTGTATGAATGGAGCATCAGATTTTCCAGAAGGATGGATTTAGGACAGTTACAGGTTATAGAGCACAATTTATGCTTCAGTATGTTTCTATCTCCAGATTCATATTTTTCTAGTTATTGTCTGGAATGGTGAGGATTAAGTTGAATCATGTGGTAATGAGAAGCAAGTGAAGCCTTATAAGGCTTGGTTTGTCTTTCCTGCAAGCGTCAGGTTTAGTAGAGAAGAAGAAATGCTCTTTTGTGGTAAGTCTAGTAAAGAGGTCGTTCTCCAGTATCTGCTTCCAGCCTGGAAGATGAAATGTCTGCATTCAGCTGTCTTTGAGATTATTTTATAATAGTATTTTGTCAAACATTGTGTTCAAGTTATGATATTCTGCTATTTTCAGGATTTCCATGTCTGTAGATCTGTGTTCAACAGTTAAAATATAATGTTAAAATTATCAATTGCTTTTAATTCTTACAAGATTCTAATTCAGATTTGTTGGTATTAAATACTTCTAGACAGTAAAGACTTTCTAGAAGTTAGTCAACAAAGTTAATAGCACAAAACAGTATTCTAAACTTCATGTAGTTGAAGCTGAGACTTTGAAAGTAAGATTGAAGTGAAATAACTGCTTGTGACTGATGATGGTAATGGAAAAGGGAACGCTGTTTTCTAGATGAGGCAAACCCAAAATGCAGAACTTGAGGCTTTGGCCAAAGTACCACAGTGTATTGGATTAATCAGTAAAGCTCATCTTAGATGTTTTCCTGCTCTATAGTTTATGATTTTTATTTTTTTCTTTAGTTATGGTATCATACTTATGCAAATAAGCTGTGTCCAGCTCTGGAGCCCTCAGCACAGGAAAGACACGAACCTGTTGGAGCTGGCCCACAGGAGGGCCACAAAAATGATCAGAGGGCTGGAGCACCTCTCCTGTGAGGAAAGGCTGAGAGAGTTGGGGTTGTTCAGCCTGGAGAAGAGCAGGCTTCAGGGAGACCTTAAAGGGGGCTTATAAGAAAGATGGGGACAGACATTTTAGTAGGGCCTGTAGTAATAGGACAAGGGGTAATGGTTTTAAACTAAAAGAGGGTAGCTTCAGGCTAGATACAAGGAATAAAATTTTTATGATGAGGGTGGTAAAGCACTGGCACAGGTTGCCCAGAGAGGTGGTAGATGGCCCATCCCTGGAAATGTTCAAGGTCAGGTTGGACAGGGCTCTGAGCAACCTGATCTCCTTGAAGATGTCCCTGCTCATTGCAGCAGGGGTTGGACTAAATGACCTTTAAAGGTCCCTTCAAACCAAAAGTATTCTATGATCTTCTAGTCAGTAGCAATTCTTCAGGAAAGGAAGGGGGGAGGAGGTTTGTAAATGTGACCTCTGAGATTGAGGATGGTCATACTTAGTAAACAAACACTGGTTTGGGATATTTTTGCTGTGGATTTTGTAATTGGTATACTTTTCAGATAGTGAAAAGTAGCTAGTCATTGTTGATTCTGCTGTGATACTTGGAAGTACAACTTTCAATTCCAAGTATGCTTTTCATATCCAGGTTAATTTGTTTTATTGTCCTGTCTTGAAGTTCTCAGACTTCCTTATCTGAGGTAGTTGAAGCATTTTCATTTTTCTTTAGTGTAGATTTTGTGAGGATATTTGACAAGTATTGTAGTAATACAAGACTGCCTTAAAACTATAGCTATGAAACTGAGAAGTTGAGACTTTAAGAAAAGTTTGGACTTCTCTTAAAGAGTAAATTTAAACAGGTAAATGAATGGAGAAGTGCCCCTTTAAAGGGGTGCTTGCAGCCTTATGTTTTAATTATGAGACTGACTATGCAAGTTAATTTATCAGTACTTTATGTATGTTGAGTGAAGCTCTGCAAATATGTAAATTTAAGTCATGGCTGTAGAGTCCCTCATGCACTGGTATTTGTGCAGCTGAGCAGCAAGGTGGATGAGGGAAGTGATTGAATCAAAAATAAAAGCAGTTTTAAGGATTATTTTCACCTAGATCAACCCTCCAGACCATTTAAATGTAACGTGTATTAACACTAACACTTAGGCAAAAGGAAGGACAAGGAAACAGACATGAGAATGGAATTGCTGTTCTGTGTCTTAAATCAGTAAAAACTGCTGTGAAACCATTGTTCCAAAGTTTATCATGTCTGAAGTTTTTTGGTATTGGCAGTCACAGTGGTTGCCACTCTAAGCATTAGTTTCTCGATACGCTTTCCAGCAAAATAATAAAGTGTTTTGGCTAAACTTTAAGAACAAATACTACATGATTAGCGAATTTCGTACAAAACAACTCTAGGTGAGCTACGGAATGCAGTTGTGGTGCTTTTTGTGTGCTGATTTTTTGCAGACTTTATCATCTCTAAAGTTTTCTGTGGAAAAGTCATTACTCAGAATAAGAAAGAGCTTAAAAATCCAGCCCTCCAAACACTCTTGAATGTTCTGTACTATGTGAACAATATAATTGAGGGAAAAATGAAATATAAAGCTGTAGAATATGGGTTTAACAGGCTTATTGTTGGGAGGAAAGGTGTTAACGCCTACTTGAGTAAAGAGTGATCAGAAAATTTATGTTGAGATTGAAATTTTAGTACACATGTAAATAAGTGGAACTCTTTTCTTTCTAGGCTCTCTTCTTTTGGAGTCCAAAATTAACCCGAACACTGCGTACCAGAAGCAACAGGTAAACATACTTTTCTTCCCCCTTATGTTTAAAGGCAGGTTCTTTAACTTCAGCAATACTGTCATTTTTTGCTTCTATTGCAAATTATATTTTATGTTCTTGTACCAAAAATAGGATGCAAAATAGTTCTAAACACTTTCGTGCATTTCATGATACATGTGTGTTATTTCTCTACATTTTTTTGTGAAGTCATATATATAACTGGCACTCTATTTTGCAGCAAAAGATGCTTTGGGAGAGATGGGCAAAGCACAGTTGTGGTAGCTGAGGTTCCTCAGGATTATAGTATCTGAAACTTAATATCTGGCTTTTTTCTTTATATTTCAGATACTACAACTTTCAATGTCTTCTATTTAGGAGAAGACTAGAAGGCTTTAAAGCTATTTGCATGTTTACCTTTGGCTTTTACTTGGAAGATGGATATGGGTTACTATGGCTTCAAAGCATTCTGTACACATAAAAGCAGCATCTCGCCTCTAGTTTGCACCTTGTTTTGGTTATTTAAGCCATACATTGTGAGCCCCTAAAGAATGCTGCTAAGATGGGTGAGAAGTGAACTGTAGGTCTTGCACTTTGTTTGCTGTTCTTATCTCATGGATGCTAAGAATTGCCCTTAGATTTAGAAGTGCTGAACCAGATCACATTTTGTTACCTTTCTGGTCAGCTCAGACTTGCTAAAATCCTGTCAGGTATGGTTAATGTATTAAACCACTCTGCAGTCTTCAACTTTAATAGTTTATTATAAGCATAGACATACTGTAGTTTTTCCTCACAGGTGGGGTGGCTGCAGCTGTTTGTAAGATTATAAGTTGAACTGAATGGGGAGAACCAGTCTGGGTTAAAAATATCCTCCCTTGGAAAAGTTAAACTATCTGCCCCTTGATAGTTCATCATGCACCATATAAACAGTCCATACTGAACTGGTAAGGGCAATGTGAGGTGGAGAATCAATGGCAGGGAGTAAGAAAGGACAAAGACCAGCAAAAATGCTAAGCAAGCTAACTCTTAGTTGTAATCCTAACTAGCTTGAGGTCATGATTCTATGATACAGTAACTTGAGCTTTAGGACTCCTGAAATGACATTGAATATTTCACAGCTCTATGGCATAAAGTGGTGATCTAGTATAAACTTGCTTTGCTGGTTCAAATCTGTTCAAAGAGCATTGAGGGGTGAGCTTTGTATCAATAGGCTTCATGCCAGATCAAACATGAAGCCTACTTAAAGTGTAAGATCAGTGCAAAACACCACACATGCTTGTCAGTGCAACAGCACTTCATAGCTGTGCTCATTGCTACTCTGTCAGATGTATTATAGTCCAGCACTGCACAAATCCATCACTGGTGATTGTGAAAACATGATTAGAGATATAAAAATACTAAACATGAATCTGTCCTGTTAGAACAGGACTGTACACTTTCTGTGCTGGAGAAGACAAAGTACTGTTCTTAAAGCTTTCAGATGCTGCATAGACAGACATTTATATTTGCAGGTGAATTGTTCATATTGTTTAAGCAAAGCAGTTTCTAATACAGATTGAACGTAGGACTCCACTCTGAGCCTTAGAAATAGCAATTCTTCTTGGTGTGCGTATTAATCCTACTTTGTAGCATGTTATCTTTCAGATGAGGCCTACTTATCCTTTTCCTTAGTAAAAGGCAAGTTCAGAGTCTAAACCTGATTCTATATGAGCTAAGCTTGCACCTTAGCAGCTGAGAGAAGGAGTTGCTTCTTTCCAGCACTGCTCATAGGACTCTGAACTGCCTTGGTATCACCTTGAAATCACCTTGGTACTCCAAATATCTTTACAAAAACTAGTAACTGTCTATGTCAGCAGAGGTTTCAAGCCACCTCACACAAGATCCATTTGTGGAAACGTGGTATGGAAGAGTGAGTGAGATCTTTCCTTTTTAGCTGCAGAATGCCACTTAGGTCCCCTCAGCTACTAGTGAAATTGCAGCCTGAGATAGAAGACTTACTTTTGAGTTTGCCTGCAGTTGTCAGTTGCATTCATAAAATTTCAAGAAAAATCTCCTAGAAACGTAAAACTTAAAACTTCGAAGTAGCTTTCCAGTGGTATGGTCTTAGCAGCCTTTTATCTCAAAATTTTGTTGTGAGGGTGAACTTCCATTCCATTTTATAGGGTACATAGCAGTACATCTGTTTTTACTGTGACATACTTAGCATGAGGCTTATGGGCACTTTGAAGATGTAATGGAATAAGTGTATGAGTTCTGACTTTTGTCTAGGCTGACACGAGGCTGGTAAGAAGAAACAATCTTCTATTGGACCAACCAATATAATTTGTGGCTGGGAAGAATGAGAGATGGGTGATAGATTAGCTGTTGGGGAAACTTGCTATGCCAGTTGCTTTGGATTCTTCAACAAGCCTATAGATACCTTAGTGATAAACAGTGAAGTTCTTCCACTCATGAAAGAACCATCTACCTATGCTGCACTATTCACGCCAGTGTGAAAGAGATTGTCTCATTAATTGTTGATAGCACAAATGATGCAATCTCAGGGTATACATATGTATAGATCATTATTTGTCAAAATAACAGCACGAAGACCTGAGTACAAGTTTGCCTTGCTGCCTCTGTTCTTTTGGCGTGTTGATCTAATTGCTGTAAATACAACTGTCTGCTTTTCCCTTTGGAGAGGAAGAATACTTGGCAGATCTTCAGACCTGCTGAGGGACTCACTTTTCATACATCAGCATGGTCCTGAAATACTTCAGCTTGCACAATCTAGTCCCCAGTTTTCCCAGATTTACCTGCCATCTAGAGGTTTAAAATTGATCCTTAAAGCATGAAACACATAGGCAGTCTTTTAACTACCTTTTCACTAGTCAGATCAGTTAGTCTTTCTGTCACAATGAAGACTCATATTCCGCTGTGTGTTCAAAAAGAAAGATACATCTATATCTGATTCTGTAACACAGAACTGCTACCAGTGGAAGTTTTTGGATGCTCTGAACCCTGTACTTCCTGGCAAACTCATCCTTACTTATACTAGAACTAGAAGAAAGGAATCCATATGAGGAAAACAAGCTAGAGAGTAATGTCCTGTGGCTCAGAAAAAGGACTGATATTTCTTGTGTTAAGGTATTTACAGGCAGAAGATTTCTTCTGAAAAAGCAAAAAAAAGTACAGCCACTTGGCCTCGTTTAGGTCTATATGTTAAGTTTTATTGGTATTCTTAATTTAAAATGTTACAGTAACAGTCCTATAACTTTGGTATGGAATATACTGAATTTAATTATGGGTAAGTAGCACACAGCTTAAAAGCAAATTTTGTTTAATAAGTAAAATTTAATTATACTATGGGTTGAAGAATACTTAGTTTTCCTCTTGTGTTGTTGATTGTTTTCATAATATACTAGTAAAGGTGGAAGTACTTTAATTGTAATGTCCTGGTGACACACTCAATTCATGCTCTGGTTTTTATGTGGCTTTTTTTAAAGGCATTAAAATGGCATGATTCCAGAATGCTAGTGACAGAGGTGCTGTTCTTAAGTTTAGGACAACACACCTCTTCCTACGAAACCTTAAAGGAGAAATAAACTCTATGTACGTAACATGTATCTAGGGAGAAAGCTGATACAGGTGCAGACTGAGGTATATACTTTTCAATATACTTTCAATATACTTTGGCAATGCTTTAGCAATAGAGCAATAAGGACCTATCCTCAACTTTATTCTAGATACATCCATGTACATTCTGTAACTCAGTGATTAAGTATGTATTGCATCCTTTTTTTGTGCCTGAAACAAGGAAGACCTGAGTTGTTTCCAGCTTGCGTCTACACTAGAAACTTCAGTGTCTCATGTCCTCTGCTTTTGCAGTCCCTTTTTCAGTTCCTCACAAGAATACAAAGCTTAAATTCATCCAGAGTACCATCTACTAGCTATGTAGCTCAAAGGTGGCTATCCTTGAATGATGGAGAGCAGACTTATTAATAACAAAGCTGAATTTTTAAAAGATCCAGAAAGCCACTGGCAGAATGCTCAGAGAAGATGAACTTCCTGCCCTTGCTGTCAGGATAAGCAAGCCAGCAATGAAACTATTTCAATAAAATTTGTGCTTATTGTAGCTAAGACACTAAGGAAAAGTGTGTGGTGTTATGGGGTGAGGGGAGAAACAAGAGGAGTGACTGCTCCTGGTTTTGGGGTAGGTTGGTTCTCCTGTTTTAAATGATCACATGCTCCTTTATCTTCATGCATGTTTTCGTGTGAAATCTAATTTTTCTGCTGTTTCTGGGTATGGTCACTAGGCCAGCGAGTCAAGGTTCTGTTATAGAACTAATAAACTGATTTTCTCATGTGACTTATGGGAATGCAGCTATCAAATGGCTAACTGAAAAGTCATATATGATTGAGCTTTTGTAGAAGCTAATAGAATCCACTCTGCCAAAAGACTGAGTGTGCTGTTGATATGTTATTCCAGTTTTTGGGATAATGTGTTAACACATCCAGATATCCAGGTTCTAGGTGAACAAATGCAAAATTGAAACTTAGTATTATGTTAGTGGGGCAGGCATTTTTTTAGACTGAAGATTCTGCTGCAACCTACCACAATAACTATATGTATTTAACTTAAAAAAAAAAACTTGGATAGTGCCAGTAGTTTGTCGTAAGCAGAAGGCTGCTTATGAAACTGTACTTTTGAGTGTAAATAATTAGCTAGCAAGGTGCTGAAAGGTGGCTTGGCATGTCCAGGGAAGTGTCTGTAACTGTAAACAAAGGCTTAGGTAAGGAAGGCTAGCAATCAGGCAATCCCAGAGGGGAAGAAACAGCCTTCCTCTGTTGAACTTCCACCACTTTCCTGGCCCGCAGTGGAAGCGATTAATTTGCTTTTTAGACAGAATGCAAGAATTTATGAAAGACCTATCTAATTTAGGGGAATCACTACTTTTTGAGAGTAGCCTAAATCTCATAGGGATGCCAAGTGAATATTTTGGAGCTGCAGAGAAGACTCGTATTCTCCCTGGACATGAACACCAGTGAGAGGGCATTGTCAAACAATAACAGTTTTCTTAAATTTATCACATTAGGAAAGAAATCTTAAATCAGCAGAATCAAATGCTGAGTACTAGTTGCTCTGAAATTCTTCTTTATGAAATCCTGCGGCTTGCTTTGGAGATTGTATGAATGTTGTACAACACACCTGCTAATCAGCTTGCTAATAGTTAAATAAAACTGATTTAATGTCTAATAAAAGCATGACTTCTGGTGAGTGTTATGCCAAGACCTTGAGACGGATAGTGTGTATTCAACAATCTTTTTATATAGGAAAGTAAGCCTTTTGGCAGTAATTTCAAAAAGTGAGGAGAAATCATATGGTAGATACTAAGCCCTGTCCATCTAGATATGATTGTCACTGCTTGCTGGCTTAAACTATTGCAGTAGTATTTTTGAAGCTTATCTTCTTAGGAATGAAGTCTCAAATAAAGCTGTAACACACAGTAGTGCTTCCTTCAAAACCTCTAACCAGAACTTGCTCTATGTGGGCTTGATGCTGCCAATGATGAGACAAGCAGCACAGAAATGCCAAACTGTATTCTGAAGAAGTTTTACCTCAGGCTGTATCTTTATAAGGATAAGAATGCAAGAAGTTAACCTCCATTGGTAGAAATGATAAATACCTCTTTATCTGAATGTTAAATACATAGGTCTTCTAAAAAGAGGCCATGCTCAGTGTTTTCTTAAAATTAAGAAGTCCTGATTATATCTGAGCAGTCATAATGAACAATAATATGAAAGAAGACAAATTTATATAAATGATCTTGGGGAGACAGTAAATTTTGTATGACCTAAGGTAGCAATGACGTATCCAACTGACACTATTGTGAACGTATTTTTTTGCCAAGCAGCAAATGATTTTTAAACCTGGAATAAGATCGTGACCTCTGCATAAGTAGTTTCCTGATTATCATCCTATTAAAAAAAGATCTTGCCAGAACTTTAATGCATCTTGCAAAACATGAGGAGCTAGAATGCTAGGATTCTTGCAGAGCACCTAGTATAAAAGCCTTCAATGATGAAACATTTGTCCATGTTTTGGACTCAGTTCACACAATGTTGCTATGATTTAATACTGCAGTTCACATTTTAAATGTGCTTAACACGAAGCTAGATAAGAACAAATTCTAGATTTTCATTTTAGTCATTCAGTTCCTTGTCTAGAGACTAACATTTTGTATGTAATGCAAAAAAAAGATATGATTCTGAGCCAGAGCTGCTTTTATGAATCATAGAAGATTTATGCTCATAGAGGGGTAATGTGCAAGACTCATCTGCTTACCTCTCTAACCAATAGCTACTATTACTAAGTGTATTTATTCACACTCCTGTTTTCTCTTGGAATGGAGGAGGCAGTCTTAAAAAAATTCACTTGCTTTTTGGAGTTGCAAGAAGCAGTGTTTCACATTTGGAAGCAACAGGTAGTCCTATTCCATAGCTGAGAGATCCACAGTAGTTAGCGGATTCAAATTACACTTGAGGAGATTTCAGATCAAACACCTAGAAAGATTCCTTTAAATAAAACAAGCAGAAACTAGACTTTTATTGATGTTATTTTATCTTTAACTACATCTAGACTTTCCTTCAGACATTTCTCCCGACACGTATAAGACTTGTACTGCTACTCTTTTTGATGATTAGAAGCTTTCTAGGATGAAGAAAATGAAATTACATTAATAACTGTCTGCATTTAACAGTGAATTTAAACTTTGACTGAGCTGTGTATTACGCATCAGAGTGAAGTGCTTTTCTCACTTTGTTTCATGTTCTCTGTTTAAAAGCCCTTTGACCCAAGAAAGAATGTACAAACACTCTCTTACAAAAGATCCGGAGAGTATCAATTGATAGATTCCTCTTGAGACACTGATAATAATCTATACTCTGAAAATTTTGTGTGATAAAACAACAGATAAAAATAATAATTTGAAATTGTTAATGTTGGCAGGTGGAAAATACTTTTCTAATACTAATAAACCAGACTTGAAGATTATTGTTCTGCTGCTCAAATAATTTTTCAGCAGTTTTTGTTTTGTTTTCCAAAGAAGAAACAAAAAAATAATCAGAATGTGTAGAGGTGAAAAAATACAGTCTGAATTTCCATGTATGATAGTAGATGATCTTTTTTAACAAGAGCAGTTGCTATATTATGGCTGAATACACCTCTGTACATCTGTGACTATAGTTTTCAAAAGCAGCTTTACCTTTGTGTCTTCCCTTTCATTTTTCCTCTGCCTGCCTCCATTCCTCCTCTCCCCAGAGGAAAAAGACAGACAGACCTGGCTTGGTCCATTGCTGGATTTTATTTAGAAACTCAGAGCTTTCGATTACTCAACTTATCACAGTTAATGTAAATAACACTGTCTTTATTTCTGTTCTTTTAGTCATTTCCCTATTTGTTAGTCATGTTCTTTATAGAGAAGAAAATACGTTTTGATCTTCTTTTGGAAATGGCTTGCTTAGAAATCTAACAGCTTTCACTTAAATGGAAATGTAATGCGATAGAAATATTGAAAGTTCTGCTAGGGTCTACGTAAGATTTAGTGTTACGTTGCTTGGGTTTTTTAATTAAATAAGTGCTTCTTAGTGGGAAGCTGATGAGACAGTGACCTTGAAAATTACTGCAGTATAAATACTAATTGTAGAGATTAACGTATTAAATTTTGAACCTGATACATACAATGAATACTGCAGTAAGGTACATACTGTTTTTAAACGATTATAAAAAAAAACAAAACCCCAAAAAAACAACAAAAACAAACCAAAACCAAATATCTTTCTGAATTTTTGTAAACTGTTATTTTCTTACTCTATAGGAGTCAGCAGTACTAGGTGCTGTCAATCTGTTATTACCAGAGTATTTGCACTGTGACCTGTCTTGTAGAGAATAAACTATTAATTGTGACTTTCTTCTTCCTTTTGTATTTTGGAGGTGGTCTTCCTAAATCCCTTCCTTCTGTGTACCACCTCTTCCTCAACCCTTTGGAAAAGGAAAAGGTAAACTATTTGCCATTTGCAAGGTAAAGCCATTAGCGCCTCTGAAGCAGTATAGCTGCTCTGGTAATGGCAAATTGATTATATTGTGTTACTTGACTGAATCCTAATGGAGCTAGCTGATCGTGCTATTTAGAGTATAGTTTAGTTTAAGTTTTCTAGTAAGTGCATATCAAAATTTGTAAGATTTCTCTTTATCCTCAATGTTCATTTTAATATTTGAAGTACATTAAGCCTAATTAACTGTCTCAAACTTTATAAATGTCTGGCAACTTATAGTGCTTTCACAAATATTTAAAATTAATTCCTTTAGGAATAATCCCTATAAGCAAAATCTATACTTAATGAAGCAAAAATACTCTATGGTTCTCATTGAAATATAAGTAGAAAAATTCTCATATGTCTTGTCCTAGGGAATAAATGCATGTTTTAGCACTTAACTGAAATAAGGCAGTTTCATGGGGCTGTATTATTTAATGTGGCTATATTTCAGCTAGCTGTTATAGGAAGGCAAAAGACTTTTAAAATAAAACTTGATTCAATATGTAAATAATGCAGATTCTATTTTCCTCTTGGTTTTTTTTTTTATTGTAACAGTTATTTAGTAGACTGTCTGTAAACTACTGCATCAAATACCTTATCAGTGTGCGATATTGCTGTTTGCAGCATCAGCTTCCACTTCCATATATTGTTTCTCCATGCAGTATGAGGGCTCTGATAAACTCTTGAACTATTCTAATAAGTCGATGAGAGCTTAAGTGTCTGGGTAGTAGACATAGCTAAGCACGGTTTCAACTAACTTGTAGAAATCTAGGGTAAGTCGACCTTCCAGAATTGTAGTTTGGAATGAGTAATGATGTGCATTGTTCAGCATAATAGGTGTGCATACTCTTAGGCAGTTACCTGTGTGCGTATTCAAGTTTCTGTTCTTGTTTAAAGTTTGCAGACATCTTGGGGCTGATTTTTAAGCAGCTGTTCTGTGCATTAGCACAGTGTCTTCTGGGGCCTATAAAAATGAAAAAAATGATTGTAACTTTGATCCTACAGAAGATGTGTGGGTTTAAGTGGTCCAATTGAAACAGATTTTAAAAAAACCAAACCAAAACAAAAAAACCCAACCCAAAACAAAAAAAACCCCAAACAACCCGAAACAAAAAAAACACCCTGTTGCTGTTGTTACCGTATTTTATCAGAGGATGCATTGAGGTAGAAGTACATATTCTAGATCAACCTTTTTGAGATTTACAATATTATGGTCACATGAATTAAGAACTAAAACTTTCAGTCTCTTTCTGGAACTTCCTTATTCTGATTTATGCAGAAATGTTTTTAACCCTAAGAACCTCAGAATGTATAAAATCTTACAAAGTGTGATGATTACATTTGTATTGTAATACTGTCCTGTCATAAGTAGGTGTCAAGCTGTTTTTATTTTAAAATTTTATTCTTTAAACACTATTCACATTTGTAAAATCTGAAATATATTGTCTGAAAATGCTCTTTCTCTCTTTAAAGGATACCTTGATTGTGTGGTCTGAAGCTGAAAATTATGATTTGGCACTTAGCTTTCAAGAAAAAGCAGGATGTGATGAAATATGGGAAAAAATATGTCAGGTAAGTTTGATAAATATAAGATTGAGACACTTAAATCATCTTAATGTTTGCATTCAGAATTTTTAGGCTGTTTTAAGAGATGAATCTGAACATAGTAGATAGAAAGTAAAAACTGTCATCTTTGCCACCTCCCCCAAATTTTACATGTTCGAGTTTGAAAACTCTCCTTCCTCCAGAAATTTGATATGAAGTTAAACTGTGTTTGGGTGTTTTGGGGTTTTTTAGAGCATTTTCAGATCTTTTTGCTGAACATAACTTTTTCGTTCTGTTATCGCCCAAGGAAATTCAGCTCAGAAAGAGAAAAAAAGTTTCATAACAATTAATTTCATAATTAACTTTTTCCAAGTTGGCCAGAAGGGAAAAAGTTTTATTATAGAGAGAAGAATGTATGTGATTATAATGTATTGCTCATGGATTTAACCATATCTTGTTCATATTTCTCTTTCTGCATTTCTCATTCTTCTCTTTCTCTTATCTTTCTTCTGTTTCAGGTGAGGGGGATATTGAGTTTCTCAACAAAACCTTTTTCTGTGTCAATGTGACAGTATGTTTCTGTTGTCTGTCAGGGTGTGAAAAGATCAGTCTGATAGTTGAAGTAGGAGGTAGCTCTATCCCTGTATTATCACCTCAAAGCTGTAATTCATACAGTTTAAGGAAATTAAACAATTTATATGTAGCATGTATATATTTTAATATGTGTTAATCAACTTCTTGTATTTTACCCCTATGACTGGATGACTATATAGTCACTGAATCAGTATTGTTTCTGGATAGCATTTGGTCAGGTATTAACTATTGACAAATACCCAAAAGAGTTTAGTCAGTATATTCACTGATGTTAGTTCCGTTTGCCAATTCTTGTTTGGATTTTTTCTTCTGTTCCAGTCATTACAGCTTTTCTTAATTTCTATGCTACCTTAGGTGGGATTTCTCTAAATTTGTCTGATTCTCTCTCTATGCACTCTCTCTTTCTGTTCTTAAACATCTAATTCTCTCACTCTGTCTTTTGCAGTTTGTTCTCACTGATTTCAGAAATAAAAGAAATCTGGTTTCATAATTGCATGTGTATAGATCATTCCCTTTTTTAGGAATGAGTCTCTTCAACAGTTTACCACTTATGTAAATAAGTACAGAAACTTATGTAAATAAGTACAGAAATATTTCCAGGAACTTTAGCAGTCAAAGGACCAAAAGTTGGGGACAGAAACCAAATGGGGGAAAGGGGAAATTGTGTTCTTGGGAAACACCCAGATAAGAAGCCCAGCTTCCTCAGCCTCATGTAAAGATCTAATATTTTCGTAAGAAACCAGTGTCTTTACATCCTGTTTTGAGGCCATCCTATTGTATTTGTGTCTAGTGTACTTTAAAGATCTTAAGCTTCCTCAGTCATTAAAAGCTTCTTCTAAAAGAAAAACTTTGATACCACTTATGCTGGAAGTGGTTGCTGATCTATAAGCAGAACAGTATGTGGGTTTTAACAGCATTCTGGATTTTAATCTAAGTATAGGCTTGCTGTTATCCATGAAGAATTATTTCTCCCAGATTTTTTTTGCTGATTTTGAAGATTAAAAAGAGCAGTACCTTCTACCATTGTACACAGCAGTGCCTTTCTGGATTTGACACATCAGACTCCAAGCAGATACTACGATTAAGATGTCATTAAAGCTGAAACACTTTGGTGCCCAAGCATCCGTCTCTGTTTTTTTCCACTAATTTGTGCTTTCCGCAGTTTCCTTGTATCTCTAGAGAGATCTTTGCAGGTCCTGTACCTTGTTTATCTGACAGCTCCAGATTTCCACTACTCTTTTGTTAATGTTGGTTTGGAGTTTTCTGTTCTAAAGGGAAGATTCTGTGCCTCTGTTGAATATTTGGAAAGTGCACGGTAACCAATTTTGACTTGCAGCTCTCCAGAACTGAAAACAACGATTAAATTAACAAGACTGGCCTCTCTCCTCTGTTTGAGGTAGCAGAAGCTTTGAAAAGCATCAAGAGCAGTTAAATAACCTATAGATAAATTTTTAAAGCTATCACTGCAATAATGTAATACTGGTTTGCATTTAAAAATCTGTCAGCAAAGAATAAAGACTGGAAACAAATAGTTTAGTTCAGTAGTCTATTAAAAAGTTGTCATCCATACAAGTAATTATGAATTTCCTTTTTTATTTGAAATAATCAGAAAATGCAGCTTTTTTCTTTATTCTTCCTCCTTTTTATAGAAAATAAATAGAATGAAATATCTAATGTAGAAATAATTTGTAAAGCCTTCTGTTTGAAGAAATCTTTTCATTATCTCTTATTTTCCAAACCAGCTGTACTCAATGTCAAACTTAAATTTGCACTTCTATTTTGGCCATACAAAGAAAAAGCATGTGACATTTGAAATGGTATTTTTAAAAAAGTGTTCAAGTAAACATTAAACTCCACTTTTTTGAACACATCTTATTTTGCAGGTTCAAGGCAAAGACCCTTCTGTCGATATTACTCAGGACCTTGTCGATGAATCTGAGGAAGAACGTTTTGATGATATGTCATCACCAGGTCTAGAATTGCCATCTTGTGAATTAAGTCGACTAGAAGAAATTGCAGAACTGGTGGCATCTTCACTGCCTTCACCATTACGTCGTGAAAAACTCGCACTAGCACTGGAAAATGAGGGCTATATTAAGAAGCTCTTAGAAATTTTTCATGTGTGCGAAGACTTGGAGAACATTGAAGGACTACACCACTTATATGAAATTATCAAGGGAATTTTTCTTTTGAACAGAACTGCACTTTTTGAAGTCATGTTTTCTGAGGAATGTATAATGGACGTAATTGGATGCCTAGAATATGATCCATCTTTATCACAGTCACGGAAACACAGGGAATTTCTGACTAAAACGGCAAAATTTAAAGAGGTGATTCCTATATCTGATCCAGAGCTGAAGCAAAAAATACATCAGACGTACAGAGTACAGTATATTCAAGATATGGTCCTACCCACTCCCTCAGTTTTTGAGGAAAATATGCTATCAACACTTCATTCTTTCATCTTTTTTAATAAAGTGGAAATTGTTGGTATGTTACAGGTAAGTTTCAGAATTTCACAGTCTGTCTATTTGCACTCGGGCAAAGAAAGTTGGATAATTTTGCTTGGAAAGATTGAGGTGCTTCGGTGGAACTTTCATTTCTGTGATTCTGAAAGTCATTTTGAAGTATGACATAAAAGGTGTGGATTTGAGTACTGAGCTGTTAAATATATGTTCTTAAATTTCAGATTTTGGACTAGATTCTCTGTAGCTGGTTTAAATGGAGCAAACATGTAGAATCTTGAATTAGGTTGTTTGGAAGGAATAGGGCTGTTTGCATTTTGAAGGGTTGATTTTGTTAGGGCTTTTTTTTCTGCATTTTGGGACTTTTTAGGCACTACAGTTAAGGATAATTTTTGTCATGTTACCATGACCAAAAAAAAAAAAAAATCAAATTACTTCACCTAAATTTCACAAGTACAATCTCATACCAGGATATAACTGTTTCTAATTTTGAAGTAAATTAAATCAGTTGTTCGGAAAGTACAGGTTCAGAACATAACATTGCCTTAGGTGCTTGAATGTTTTCTTAGTTTGTCTTGTAAGTCCCTAAATAATACTGCTTGGAATTACCAATTTTTTGTGACGTATGTCTTACTGCAAATTTAAAGAGATTACATGATGCTTTAGGTATCTGACCTACATGTCTTAAGTATTCTGCACCAACCCATGAACTTCCTGAACTGTGTAGAAATAGGTGGCACGTATCTTCCTAAAACTTTCAACTAATTCATCAAAGTGTTCTAGCACATGTATTTTGGTTTGTATAAATTCTCCTAATGTCTTAATTCTCCTAACGTGTAATAAATGAATAGCAACTGTCTTTGTGGGGGCTGTCTGATCTGGAGAAATGGATAAAGTGCTGGATGCTACCAATTACTTTAATCATATTTCTCTTCTGTTGAGTCTCAGAATGCACCCTGTTTAATTCCAGGGAAAATACAGCAAAGGAGAGTGAAAATTCCTTTTGCAAGCGCATACAGCAAATCACTGTCAAAACTAGGCCTCCTGACTTTTTACCACACTCAGTTGATCAGAATACTGATATTATTTAATCCATTCTCTTGGAGCTTTAATCTGTCATGTCCACACATGAAGTATTTGATAAGCAGCCAGATGTGCAGGACATCACCCAGGCCTAGCAGCTGAGGCATGTGCCTTGTGTAGTAGCCGCTGGAGGCCTGGTGGAACACCTGGGGTATCTTCAGTAGTGCTAGACCCCACCTTATGCCCAACTGGTGAACCAAACTTTATGTCTGTATGTGTATCCTTGATAAAGTCACAAATGTGTATCTGAAACAGTCAGAGGGCGTCACCATTTTGGAATGGCCAGTTTGAGAAAGCTGACAAGCCTGACTTTGAGAGAGTGCTGAAAAAGATTCAGTCAAGAGGTCTCAACTTGCGTATCCAGTATGACTAGTGTCTCTAAAATAATCTTGACCTCTTTCAAGGGTTGCTAAAAGCAAAGTCCTGAGGATGATACATTTTCGCTTGAGGAGAGGAGAGGGGAAGAATTATTCAGGAGTCTTGGTGTCAGTGGCTGATTGTGAGAGGGATCTTGAACTTTGAAAAGGAAGCTGGGCAAGGAGAAAGGGGACCTGATCCTGCAAAATCATTAAGGGCATGTTTGCCAGAAATCCTGAGGCGACTTGATTGAGAACTAGTGGCTGATTAGTTTCCTTTTTTCTGTCTCTTACAACCTGTGTTATGTTAATGGCTGTAGGCTGAGCTTGGGTTAGAATATCAAGGTTTAGTGTGGTTGCAAAACTTGTTAGTTGCAGTTTACAGTTGAAATAGAGGCTCAGATCTGATTTTGGTTTGTTGTGTGACCGCAGGTTTCTGAACCTTATCTTCACTTCTGTTGCTGTTGTCTATGGTTGAGAATAAAGTATACTCCCTGTGCAGTGGAGCCAAAAGAATTAGCATTGCATAATTTTCAAAGTTCAATAACTACTTCAAAGTGCTCAAAGCTGCTTTCTACAGCTTTGAGGAGCGAAGAATGGTAGCACACAAGGAAGAAAATGTATCCGGTGCTATATTGCATTTCCTAGTCCTTTCACAGTACAGCTCTATTGCATTGAGGGGGAGCTCCCCGAGTTTATAAATTAGAATGTTGGGAATTCTTTGACATTGACAATAAGTTCTTGGTTTTGAGGGGATTAAAAGAAGCTATCACAAATTATATGCCAGTTGCATTTCTAAGAGTTAGAAGGCTTGCTTGCTTGATTGATTTTTAAAGTTCTCACAGTGTAGGTCTAAGTCAAGGTTTAAACCTACTTGCCTGGCATTTATTTATTCATTTATTTATAGAGCAATATGTCAGGTTGCACCTTTCTGTAATCTCTGCCCCCTAAAGTTTCATTCTCCCCTGTACTTTCTCCGCAGTCCATGTATAAAACACATGATACTGTTCCTTCTCATTTCTTTAAGCAGAATAAATAAAGTTCTGAGAACAAAATTAAAAGATTGGTTTTGTTGATTTCACTTCTATAACTAATTCTTACGGAACTTCTTCCACTAGTGTGTGGTTTAACATGCATTTCTGTAGCTGGTTGTATCACAGTCCTTTGCTGGGGGGGTTCATGCATGCTATATCATGGAAGATTTAAAGTTGTCTGTAATTGGAGTCCCTGGCATTCTTTATTTTAGATCTTAAGAGATCCTGGTGCTCACTAGCCTTACGTGTGTACTTAAGAAGCTGTTTCTTTTATAAGTCATTATTAATTGAAGAGTTTCTGGGGTGCTTCATGGTAATTTATTAGGAGTCATGGATGAGTCTCAAGTTCTTAGTTGATGCATAATAGAGATTGTTATGCTTCTGCAGGTTGTATCTCCTGGACCATTGATGGTGTGACAAAAGAGCTATCTTTTCACGAAATTTTACTTCTCAGATTAAAAGTAAACTCCCTGAGCAGGTGGTATCCTGTGACATACTGTAACTATTGCATGTGCAACTGAGTTGTTTTCTATTCTGTTCTTTTCTCTCTCACTGGCTGTGAAGAAGAGTAGAATAAAAACTATTACCTCCACTGTTAGAAAAAGATGAGCTCTAAAGAGCCCTTTTCATGCCAGCCACTTGCAGTACCTTCATCTCAAATTAGCTCAGCTGTACCTTAGTTGCAGAAAAGTGACTAGAAATTTGTACGAGACACTGTGCAGATTGTGCTTTATGCTTTTTGGTAGGCCAGGTGACTTTACTCAGAATTACCACTGTGTCTTAAGGTATTTGATTTCAAGATAGGACATTTGAGGTCATTAAAGGTCACTGACATTTAAGGTCATTTTTTCAGTTACAACTAGTCAATTCTGTAAATAAGAATATGCTGATTCTTAAGAATTCTGGCTTTATTGGGGGAGATTTTTGGCATCTTTTTTAAAAAAAAAAATGCTGTAGTCATCGAAGATACCTGCTTCCATGATTTTACTTTTTTTGGTAGGTAAATAACTTTTGCCCATTCTGAGGTAAAACCAAAAATAGAGAGAATGGGTCACCTTTGGCACTTAGGGTTATGAACTGTATTCCTCCTTCCTTCTTCATTAAGGTTACTGTTCCCGTAATCTTTATAATGGGCTTTTCTGAGAAATGGAGGTTAGTTTATTTGTGATTTAATTGTCTAAGATCCATCATTTTAAGTAACTAGTCAAGATCTTACTAAACTAGATACTGTTGGTCATGATGGATAGTAAACCCACAATACCAGTATTTCCAGTCCACAGAATTAACTGCTGTGGAAACCTACTCAATTACAGGTTTTATGATTCGCTGTATGGTAAGATACGAAAGAGGTATATAACGTTTTTTTCCAATTACAGCCCCTCCTAATATGCTTTTACTGCTTGGGCTCCAGCCTGTTCTAGTCTTGAGATGCCATAGCCACCAAGAAACCTTGCTGAAACATGGAGTTCGCCAAGCTTTGAGAGTGGGGGTGGGACAGGTAAGTGGTGTTTCTTACTTTATATGACGCTTTTTTGCAGTTTTAAAAATATATACTAATGTTCACACTGGAGGCCACCAGTTCTTTCCCTTTGTATTATTAACTAGTTCTTAAAAACCAAAAACTTGCAAAACTGCGCCATAGAGTGAGCAAACACTGTTTCCTCTCGTTCTCTCCCCCCTTTCTCATTGGCATGTTCTTTTTGCCAGCAAGATCCTGTGATGTTTATATCTTCCAGAATACAGAATATTGTTAGGATTACTTTCAAGTATGTGCATTTAGACTTCAGAGTCTTTTATTTTCAGGAAAGTGGACAGTGGAAGGGGAGAACTGGATATATGTTAAAATAATTTATGTGCCTAGTAGAGCAGTAGTCACATGGCATTACTGTACTGGTAAATCAACTTTTTTAAATACAGAAATCATACTACTGATAGTCCCTATCCAGCTTTTCAATAACTAAACAATTGTAGGCATTTAGGTACATCTGTATATTTTACTGGATTTTATATATAACAATAGGATTTTTTAAAAAGTGGTTTTACAGATAGTTATTCTTAACAGAACCCCATTGATGTAAATGTAGTTATCTGTAGTTGTTTTAGAGGAAGAATTATATCAGTGCATGTTGGTAGTTTTGCCCAAATGTATTAGGATTGGAACATCTTCTGCCAGTCTGCTGTTTGCAGTAGTTGGCTCAGGAATAACCCTGGAGATTTACTTTCAGCAAAATTTACCTTGCAATAAAGTATAAAAGGATGCCACTTTCTGGGGGAAATGACTGAGAAATTTGCAAGTGGTGCATGCTAATGATTTCTGAGATTAGCTTTTTCATTGTAGGAAATGCTTTTCAATGCGTACAGAAACTGCACATGTGATCAGGTGGATCCTGCTGCTGTTTCCGCCTGTTGTCTCAAGTGGAAATAGCTTACTGATAGCAAATGAAGCAACGTGTGGGAGGGCATGTGAGATAAAGGAGATTGAAACATTTTAACCTATGAAATCTTCTGGTGAGGCAGCAGGAAGGAATGCATGTTTGAAGCTGTAATTCTGTTTGCTGATAATGTTTTATGAAATTTCCATTTTCTGGGCTGAAATATTATTTCCGCGTAAAATGAATATGGAGGTGGAAAATAGGAAGGAAGTATACTTTTCTTCTGGCTTAGGTGTCATTGAGTTTCTTGGATTTTTTTTTTTTTTTTTTGAGAAAGGGATGCTTTTCATCGTTTGTCTGTAATCACACACATGAAATATCTGATAACTGAAAGTTAATTAAATTTTAAGAGAGGCCTGCTTTTGAAAAATGCTTTTTTAAGTGCCTTCTGGGAAGAGAAGGGCTTTTTTTTATAGTGTCTTTTTTGTGATCCTACTTTGTTTGTGGGTTTTCTTGTTTTTACAGTCATAAATGATTGAGTGAGTAGATGGCCTGGCTTAATTTTATCTTCATGAACTTTGAAAGGTATTAAATCCTAGGGGCATCTACTTAGATCTTGCAAAAGCATAAATGAATATGCTTAGTGTTTGGTATATGCATAGTTTACATACTGCACCTTTAATAATTTCTGTGCATGGAGAAAATAGCTAGATTCTACAATTACCCTGTAAAGTATCATTTGCAGTTTTGGCTTTTTGGAAAACAGTTGTGACCTTCTTCACAGCTTCTAAGATAGATCCAAATGGGTTTTGGTACTTGTCTGCATGAAGAGGCCAGATAGTGCAAAGAGTTATGCATATACACTGTGTTCACAGACATATTTTGGGGAATTTTTGCAAGTCGGGAAAAAAAAACCAAAACAAAACAGAAAACACTTAAGCTTGTGTAATTCTAGCATTTGGTGTTGGTGCTCTGTGACTTCTAAAATTTGTGAACTCTGCTCTTAGACTGCATTTCTATAGATTCTGTTAGGAATGTGTCTTTAGATATGCTGCCCTTGTCAGTAATTTTCCAGCTGGAGAGAGAGAATTTTGTATTTAAAATGTTCATTGCAATCACAATTTTTCTATAAATGTGAGAGGGTGGGCATGTTTCCTGTCAATAACAACTTGTCTACCTTTCATTAAGCATTTGGAATGAGACAGCGCCCAAACGCATTTCAGGGCTAAGATGGAACTGTGAAGTTAGTAATAAGTTGGTTTTATTTTCTTGGAATAACTGCCATTTACTGCATATTATCCATGTGAGGGTGGGATGGTTTGAATCACTCAGATCCATCTTAATTCATCTGATTTTAAATAGATCACAGTTGTTCTGAGGCCTACAGATTTCAGATAATCCTATTAATTTAAAAATACAATGTATTTAATGCAGTTTGGGGAGAGGAGGTGGTGTGAGAAATGCTTCAGCATTATTTTTAATACAGAATTGTGAAATATTTTATTATAGTATATATGTGGAGGGTTGAAAAATGGAAGTGCGGCTTTCCCCGCCACCTCTGCCTCTGGGGCTCTGCACTGGGTCAGAAAGGAGACCCACGTATCACCAGCAGTGCAGTGGCTCCTCCTCTCCTTCCACATTGTGACTTTAAAAAAATAATTTGATACTTTGGGTAATATTGTGTACCTTTTTTATGCAGAAGCACGCTAATCATGGCTCTGGCATAGCTAAATGCTGAAATAATCTTCCCTGTGATCATTCTGAGGTATTTCTGTGGTATTGACTTGGTATTGGTATTATGAAGGAGGTGAAAAGTTAATTTCACACTTAAGGATGGAAATAGGGGTTACACTTTCCAGTTGGGGATAAGCGTGCATCTTCTCAAAAGTTTTGATAGATTAGTTTTACATCTTGATCAAAATAGCAAAAAGAGAAATGAAAGCAAACTATTTACCCTTTTCTTAAATGCATTGCTAATCATGGAGAATAACTTGCATGTTCTTCAAAAGAACTGGATTTTATGGGGTTTGGTTTTTTTTATTTGAGTAAACAAGTATATCAGTATATCTACTGTGGGTTAGTTATGTTACCTGCAATGTCTAACGAGTTAATTACTAGAACAGAAAACTTACCAAGCCATATAACAGCTGGATAGCAGGTAGACAAACACCCTTGTATTCTTTCATAACAGCTTAAGTTATGTTTCTTGGAATCAAAGACCCTAATAGTTGTTTTGAACATGTTTGACTGTTGAAATCTGAAACTTTACATTTCCAGTGCTTGATCCTCCACAGTGAATTTCAGTAAACTTCACATGAGGTCTCTCCTATCTCTTTGTTTTGATTTTGAAGCAGTGACAGAAACAGCACCTGAAATTGTGTCCAGAAATCATTCTTTGTTCGTTATCACTAGACTGTTGGGTCAGGTTAGAAGCACAGCATCAAACAAGAGGTAACGTGTGGCATATCCTAAATGTAGGGTTTACCTTATAGTGTGCTGAAATGCCTGATAGGGTAGTAGCTCCTGTCAACCTATTTTGGGTTTATCTATGTTGTGCAGTGCCATGTAGAGATCCTGGATTGGGTTGTGACAGCATCATAGCTGCATTAGCATGGTGTCGGAACTAAGGTACTCATTTTCTCAGCAAGGCTGCAAGGTGAGCCTGGATGAGGTACCTAGCTAATTTTCAATGCAAGAAAGTTTATGTGGATGTATCTGAAGTTCTTTCATAGTTCTGCTTTATGCTGTGTAAACATAAGCAAGGCAAGTTGGGTTTCTAGCACTGTGGTTTTGGGATGTAGGGATATTGCACATGGTGTTACTGATTTCACAAGAAACAAGACTCTGGCAGCTTTTTGAAAAAATCTCTTCGTATCTGATGTACAAGTATCTTTTTCAAGCATGTGCTGTCTTATTGCTGTGTAACGTCGGGGAAAGGATAGGGGAAGGTTTATTTCTGTTTTAATAATCTTCTGGTTGTTAGGACTGTAAAGGTTATGGGAAATTAAGCATTGCTGCTACTTTCAATCTAAATACTTGTTTGTAATGTGTTGGCTGCTGTTTGTAGTTTTGCTAAGGTAGAGCAGCATGAAAAATAAGGTAATGGTTTTTGATTGCTCCCAGCCAGAATGCCTGATAAATGCTGTACGTAATAGGAACAGTTATTTTGATTTGGTTTTATTTGAATGCACCCTTTTCACAACATTGGGGAGGAAGAATCTTACCTTGCTCCTGTGTTATGCCCTTGCTTTAGTTAGGCTGCAAAGATCTCATAACATTTCAAAGACATATATGTGGGGGTGCTGAGTGGGAGATCATGTTTATAATTATATGTAAACAGTTGAAGCAAAGGTATTGTAGCGTGGTTTAGGGGGGCGGGTGTGTGACAAGGGGGAAGGAAGTTGTAGGAGAAATCAGACAAAATGTTGAGAATGGCAGTAGAAAACAGAAAAAGGACAGCCAAAAGGCAATACAAGATACATTGTAACTGAGAATGAAGTGTTGGGTGGGGTGGTGTTGAATGTGATAAAAGCTCAAAAACAAGATTCATATTAATTTGTTTGAAAATTGAATTAGAAAGTTGATACTGGTATGATTAACTACAGTACACAAGTGTATATTCTCTTAATTGCAGGAGGCATGGTTTAGAAGAACTTTGTATTATACTTGGATGCCTTTTCATATTGTCAGATAAACAAATGGTATTGTTTTGCCTTTGTAGGAAGATGAAAAATTTCTGACAGACTTGTTTGCACAACTAACAGATGAAGCCACAGATGAGGAGAAAAGACAGGAATTGGTAAGAAATCTGTAAAATATACGTGAAATGGACAGTTACTACATCTTGACTATGTGCATCTTTTTTTTTAATTACTAACTAGTATATTATTCCTGTTCTTCAGGTAAATTTTCTGAAAGAGTTTTGTGCGTTCTCTCAAACACTGCAACCTCAAAACAGAGATGCATTTTTCAAAACATTGTCAAATATGGGCATACTGCCAGCACTAGAAGTCATATTGGTAAGTCAGCTCAATTTTACTTGTGATAACAATTTTGTTTATCTCCAGAGGGTTGTTTTTTTTTTAAAGTAAGTATGCCAAACTTCAGGCATATGGTTTTCTGAAGTTTTTGCTTCATTTGTCTTGTCTTAGCTTGAGATTCAGAACATTTAAAATATTTTTGTAAAACTTTAAAAGCAGTTACAATACGACATTGGTAAGTGCCCTGGCATTCTTTTATTTTTGTTTTCTCATTCACTTTCCTATCTTTATATGCTTCTTGGTGTGCAATTAAGTAAGAAAATAGGGAAATAGACTAAAAGGGCAGGGAAACCATATCTTGCCCAACAGTTGTCAAATGTATGAAGAAGAGGTTAGAGTCAGTTCAGTTTTAGAATACAGGTTTAGTAACAGGCATGTTTAGTAACAGACTTGTAAGTAGGAATTAAAATGCTTTCTGGTTTTTGTTCAATTTAAGCCTTTTCTTCTAAGGAAACATAAATTATTTTATTTGACCTTTACAGGGTATGGATGATGCACAAGTACGAAGTGCAGCCACTGATATATTCTCATATTTGGTTGAATACAACCCATCCATGGTACGAGAGTTTGTCATGCAGGAGGCGCAGCAGAATGATGATGTAAGTAGAGGGTCCCCAGAAATTACTGGTTTATATTTACAACTTTACTAATGACATGAGCCCTAGTTCTGGAGCTATAAGTATGGGCTAAGTATGGAATATAGTCAAGATGGCTACAGGGTACTGAACTACCATGTTTTTAAAAGTTGTGTTAGTCAGGTGAGATGAGTGTTCGCCTGTTTCTATTGAGTGTAAAGAAAAAAAGGTTACCATAAACCACCATTTTGGCTAACATCAGCTGTCATACAAGCAAACCAAAATGTTTTTGAATGATGGCCTCCTTAAAATGCAAAATACAAATTGCAGTCTTGATCTTAGCATGTACATGTGGTTTTAATTTACTTGTAAGAAACCGGTGTTCAGTTTACTATCACACACCTTGAAAGTGGAATTATGGTCCTAAGTGTTTAAGAACCCTTTTTGACAGAGGTTTACATTTCCCAGAGGTCCTCTGTAGCTGATTAATACAGAATGCTAGCACAGAACTAGTAGTAAGAAACGTATTTCAAAGTGGTATTCAGTGCAGAAGAAACGTTGTGCTGCCTTTTCCATAGAGGAGAGAGTTAATGTTTTTTCTTGTATCTGCCAAAAACATGCCGGAGAACAGGAAACTTCTGGTGCTGCTACTTCTGTACTGGAAGAAGAAGGCAGCTGGGACAGGGAATATCGCTGGTGGTTCCAGCCACTTGAATCTGATGGCTGTCCTCTTTTATGGGGGACCAGTGGTAACCAAGCAGCTTTAGTGTAGGGATTCCTAAATGTAAATATTATTTTCTACTTCAATGTGTTATTCTTGTTTTCTGCAAATACACGGTGGGGTTATTTTTAGGTGAAAGTAATCTCATTGTGTTCAACAGCATTGTAAAATTTAATGTTGAATGTTTGTGGAAATAAAACTCTTAGTATGTATTCTAAAGGGGGATATAAATTAAGATGTCTGTACTCTGAAAATGCTTCCAGAAATCACTTGAATTTTGAGACTGTTAAATATCCACCTCTGTACTTTTTATCTTTTGGCATTTCAATTCAGAGTAAATTCTAAATTAGATTGTTAATTTCAGAACCATTTTTAGTTGCTTTGAAAGATTCTTCTTCACTGCTTGCAGCTTACTGTTGAATCACTGACCAAAAGGTGTCACTGGCACGTAAAGTTCATTTGTTTCTGTTAAGTTTGGGGGTTTTTTGTTTGGTAGGTGTTTGCATTTTACAAAATTTTTGCTAGAACACCATTTTTAACCTGGCAGTAGCTCTTTTAGAAGATAATTTCTGATTTGGGGCAAGGGAGTTGCATTAGAATTGATTTTTGCTTTTTTTTTTCCTTCCTCCATTAGGATATATTACTCATTAACCTCATTATAGAACACATGATTTGTGACACAGATCCAGAACTTGGAGGGGCAGTGCTACTTATGGGTTTGCTTCGTACTTTAGTTGATCCAGAAAATATGCTTGCTACTGCCAATGTAAGTAAATATCTTCAAATGAAATTAGAGTTGGTTTTTGTGGAGTATTTGGTGATGTTACATAGATAATTTTTTTTATTTTTATTCTTTAGAAAACAGAAAAGACAGAGTTCTTGGGTTTCTTCTACAAACATTGTATGCATGTTCTGACAGCCCCTTTATTGGCTAATACTACAGAGGACAAGCCTAGCAAAGGTAATGCCACTCTGGGTATGGGGCTCATCAAGGCTGTTGAATGTCAATGTTTAAAACAGAGTAACTGTCAAAGGACATTTTCTGTCTTAAAGAGAATCTGAGACTATGATATGTAGTTCAGTGTAAAATGTTGGTTCATGATTTAGTCATTTGAATAATTCATAAATATAAAATTCAGCAAAGAGATCTGATTTAAGAAGCGAAAAGCACTTGCTGCAGCTTTTGTTTCAGCAAAAATAGAAATATTTGTATAATTTTTAGTAACTCATGTGGCTGTTCAGTGACAGAGACTTGTGAACATGTGTAAATGTTTTTTAAGGCCAGGGATTACTAGAGAGGATGCAAAATTGCCCCTGAGGTGTGTATCACAGTACTGTGCTGATTTTGAGGATATTGGTTCTAAATCAGACTAAGAAAGCAGAGATCAGTGATGAAGTAACTGTTTTTGCTGGCTACTAGCAGCAGTACTGTTTGTTTATTAATATTACAACACATCCAAAATGGATGTAAAAGGAGGTACATAAAAGATACATAAACGTTCTGTAAATGTTTAAATTTATTGACTAGGTTTCTAAAGGATTAGTTAAATTAATCTGTTTTATCTCAACTGGCTTCCAGATAGATTGGAAGTGAGATTTTTACTATTTAAAATACTTGTGTTCTTTAATGGTAAGTTCTGTACTCTCTGAACCTTCAAACACTGATTCAGAATGAACAAAATGTAATTGTTCCTATAGTTTAAGAGGGTTTCCTCCCATATCTGTGTAAATAGAAAATATTCAGCCCATAACAGGCTTATTCAATTTCTATTTTAAAGACTAAACATACCATCCAGCATGTTGTCTGAACTATCTATGGGAATATACAAGAACTTGGAAATGTTTACCAGATTGCAGTTGAGTATTTGAAGTTAGCTTCTGAAGGCAATATCCTAGATATGTTTAATTATTTTGGGTTTGTTTTTACTACAGATGATTTTCAGACAGCCCAACTCTTGGCATTAATACTGGAATTGCTAACTTTCTGCGTAGAGCATCATACCTATCACATAAAGAACTACATAATTAATAAAGATATCCTGCGAAGGGTACTCGTTCTCATGGCCTCAAAGCACGCTTTCTTGGCATTGTGTAAGTTTGAAAGTGAAGGAATAAACTAGTATTTTGTAAATGTGAAGTGTTGCGTATCTTCATTCTGCTGGAAGAAAACTGTTCACAGATCATGACAATTTGTAACTGAATACAGAAATTCTGTTATACTCTGTTTCTCATACCAATTTAGAGATATGTCAGCTAGTATTAGTAACTAATTTTGCATTTGTAGGTATCTTTTTTTTTCCTAAAAATCAGAAGGATTTTTCTTAATGGAGAGGTGAATTGAAAGGATGGAATCTCAATATTGAATAGCCTAAGAGAACCATTATAAATTTTGATATTTTTTTAGTAGAAATTATCAGAAGTATTTAATTAGAGATACAGTTATCTGACTGCCTTAAACCATACAGAAGCTCAGTGTGCTGCTCTTCAAACTCTGTTAGTTTCTTGACCATGCTCAGCAACAGGAATAGCAAAGCATCATGACTTAATTCTGGAGGCAAGAAAGAAATTTTTCTCCATGATTCCGTTGTGCACATAATAAAGCCTAAAGTTTACTGAGCAGTACCATACAATAAGAAGTACCTTTTAAATTTGTAACTGAATCACCTGAGTTTGGTTTTAGAAGCTTTGAATAATTTTTTTTCATGTATACCTATCTGCTAACCAAAATGTGCTGCCTTATAGCAAGATGATACCCTACTTTCTGTTTATGCATGGACATTCTAGTATTTGTGTCTTCTTTGGAGTTTCAGAAAGATGCTTTACTGTGTGTTTGAAGAAAATGCCATTTACCAATTTTAAAATAAGGTAGTTTGCATCCTAATCAAATAGGACTTAATTCAATGTAATCAAACTTACATTAGAATAATAGGAGTGATAAGCAAATTTTCCAGTTCTTCTACTGAGATAATATTTCACATTTATCATAAGTAATTTTAAAAATTGAAAATACACCTTTATGTTAGTAGTAATATAGTTAAACATTCGTATATTATTTCTTCAGTGAACAGAAGTGGTTTCACTTGTAAATTATGATGGAGGATTTCTTTGTGATAAAATAGATAAGTAATCTTCAGCAGTATAGTCAAGAGTGTTGGGAAGCAGGGAACAGCTGAATGTATTACCTGGTTCTAATCATGTAATGCTGTATAAGAACTGAAGATGCAAATTGCTCTAACTAATGCCGAGTAATTTCTGGATTTTTTTTCTCTTCTAAATTTAAAAATTCTTTTGACAACACTTCTGTTTCAGGTGCCCTTCGTTTCAAGAGGAAGATAATTGGGCTAAAGGATGAATTCTACAACCGTTACATAATGAAAAGCTTTTTGTTTGAACCTGTGGTCAAAGCATTTCTAAATAATGGTTCCCGTTATAATCTGATGAACTCTGCCATAATAGAGATGTTTGAATTTATCAGAGTGGTGAGTGCTGTTATATGCTGAAGGATAATTACTGTATTGTTTAATCTTGTAGTTCAAGATTACTTTTCTTTTTGCTTGTACTCTCAATTATGCTATCATAATGGGACCATATGATACTGTATTTAAATTGACTTTCTTTTATATCACTGTTACATATTTGTACATGGTTTTTCTGATGTTCAAACGTTACTGTGACTTGAAAATTAAATTCACTCGATAGTGTATTCACAGTACCCAGATTTGCAAAGACAGCAGTAATCAAGTTTCATCATGCAGATCGGATCGGCCTGTTATGACAGGAATGTAATTTGAAACTACTGCTACAAAAACATCAAATTCAGATGTGCTCTGTGATGTCAGTTCAACAGAATATGGAAACATACAGAAGAGATACCAATCTTTTTTGGTTATAATAATGGAGTGCTACAAAGTACCTTCCAAGGGGAGTCTCTTAAAATGTTCACACCAATTTGGTTGTCTGCACACACTACTGTTTCCTCACTGTTGTTTGCATCCATATTCTGATGAGATCCTGTACAGACTGTAAATGTGGTGAGTGGAGCCAAGCTAGGGTGCAGTCAGTCATGGAGGAGTAAGTGGGTGAGGAAAAAAGGAGGCTTTCTTACCTCTTGAAACCTTCTGTGCTAATGACTTCTTACCTCTTTGAGTTGAGACTCAAGGTAGTTCAAGACTGAGATGACCTAATCATCATGGAAGAGTTGATTTTAAAATGGTTTTGAAGCTATGAAAAAAGTTAATCCATATAGGTGGCCCTGACTTCTGTGCTGTGGTCTTTCAGTACTCCATGAGATTGGGTGCTGATTTACAGTTCATGCTATGGGGAAATAAATCATCTTTTATTTTCTTATCCTCCTTTTCACACAGATATCCAGGTTGTATTTCCAGAACACTTCTTGTTATCTGTCAATAATTTTTGCCAATTTTTTTCATCCAGGTTTCTTTTTAAAGAGAGCAAACTAAAAAAAAGAGTGTTTTTGTCACTGATGTAATACCATTCATAAGAGGTGACCTTTGAGCATGTAAACAAAAAGGAAAAAAAAATTTGGTGTATTAAAATTTAGGTTGCTTTGCTTATCCTTAGTGGATGGTAACTCACGTGTTTATTCTGCAGGGGCCGTGCAGTGCTGAGAAAGTCAAACAATGCACAGGAGCAGTTTTCCAGCTGCAGTATGCAGCCCTGTGCCAGTCTCAGCTGTCTGGAGTGGCTTTGGGCAGCCACCGTGCTGAACTGAAATAGCAGAACAGTTGGGAGGCTTTTTTTGCAAAGGACCTTGACCAGCACTGTCTGGCCACAAAGGAAAAACCTGATGTTAGTTTCTAATGAAAAATATCTTCCTTGTTCTCACCCTAAACAGGTGCATTGATGAATTATTTTTGCATAAGTAATTTATTTGCAGTGAGGAAATAAACAATATGAAAGCTAAGTCTGTATCTTGTAAATTATTTTTAATTGATTACAACAGTTATCAGTTAATCTATCAATATAAAAATATTTATAAGCTACAGTGAGAAAGACCTTTTAGAATTGGTTTTGGTATAATTTTCTGTCAGGGTTTTAGATTCTTTCTATTCATGTATTTTGAAGGAGATACTGCTAGAAAATTGCTGCTTTTATGCCTGTTTCACTGATCAAATGTTTGAAGCTCTAGATTTTTTAATACACTTGTATGCATAATACTCATTTTTGCATAAGCTAATTAATATGATGCTTCCTATGGAATGTTTAAAAATAATCTCTTGTTTCAATTACTTTTTATGTTGTATTTAAATAAATTCATTTGAGTGAAAATAAGTCACTTTATGTTTGTTCCTTCCTATAGGAAGATATAAAATCGTTAACGGCTCATGTGATTGAAAATTACTGGAAGGCACTGGAAGATGTAGATTATGTGCAGACATTCAAAGGACTGAAACTACGATTTGAGCAACAAAGGGAAAGACAAGATAATCCAAAACTTGACAGGTAAAATGTACTAAATACTCTTCTTAGAATATTAGTGCTTTAATTCTGTTTTGGGTATATTGGTCGGTTGTTCTGTGATAGTGGGAAATGTAAGTAATTTAGACTCCTGCTTGCATCTCAGGTATTGTTGAATTTGATTAAAAGTGTGATTTCCAGATGTGTTGCTTCAAACTCTTGATCAGCTTTCAGCTAACATTAGTTGCTGGACCCCCAGTAATAATGCTAAGTTGTCATATCCTACCTTTATGTGTGCTGTTGTAATGAGGCTGGAAGCCTATCAAGTATCCAAAGTTCATTTGCTTAAATAACAGATTCCCACTGTTGGATTTGAAAGATTGTTCAGTTGTGAATTATCATTCTGTGGATTTTTCCTTCAAAAATTCACGTGTCAGATTTCCTTTTCCTTTTATTTAGTTGTGGGAGTAGATATTTAGATAAACTCTACCAAAATCACTGAGAAATAGAATATACAAAGAAATTTTCAGAGGATGCTTTTTTGCCACTGTTAGATTTGCTGATGGAGTGAAAAACAATCTGATGTGAGACTTGAATCACTCCATTTGCCAGAGCAAAAGTTCCCTTCCGCAGTACACAGTTACCCAAGGTTAAAAGGTTAGAGTGTATAAAAATAGGAAATTTAGACTTTTTACTCCATTTATTTTTGGCAAATGATGTTACTTTTATGTGCAGTTTCATTAAACCAAAATGGACTGCTTGTGTGAATAGTTGAGTTACTCTTAGGAATTGTTAGCAAGACTTGCTTGTTCTGTTGTCTTGAATTAGCTTGAAAACACATTAAAAAATTAATCCTGATTAGTCATACTAGGACATCTTAACGTTTCAGACTTTTTTTTTAGTTTTCTGCCACAAGATTTCTTAACCAGTAGTTAAATTTGAGACTTGTACAATTAAAATGAGAGTGTAATTGTAGATTTGTTTGAAAATGTTGAAGCACTTTCAAGAGTATGTACGGGACCTGAAGTTTTGAATATTAATATTTTACAGGTGAGATATTATTTTGGCTTGTGTCAGCTAAACTTATCACTTAAACAGCTGTGAAACTCAAGCCTAGAGTCTTACATTAATGCATGTGTTGGAAAGAACACCCAGCCGCTTCCTTCAGTAATTTCCATCCAGTATAGGAAGTAAAACATTAGTCTTTTCTTGGCTTAAGTTGAGCTAAGTGATTGTGCATAGTTGTGCCACATGAGTTTATCCAACAGAAAATTACAGCTTCAAGAGGTCTGTAGCTCAACCAGCCCAGTTTTTACCTTCCTACATCTTACATAGTGGCTGCACAAGCCCTGTCACAGTCCATGTAATTTCTTCAGTGAAACTGCAGAAATAATAAAATGTAAAAATAATAAGAATCTGTTTACACATTTTAGCAAAGAATAGTTCAGTAAAGAAGGAGGCCAAAAATTTTGTTGACGTGGGCCACAAAAGTATTCAGAAGAGTGCTATTACTTAAGTGACAGTTTTGCACTATTAGCAGAACTTGAATTTAAATGCAGTGTAAAATGATGCAGTATGTATAGATCCAGATGATAGTGTTGGCAACCAAACTATTCAGAATTAGATTTATTTTTAATGGTACATTTAGCATTCTTCTTTAATACCTTGTAATTTCCTAATCTTTCCCTTCTGGCTTTTTCCTGCAGTCACTAATGCAAGACCTTTTCTCTAAGCAAAATAAGCCCAGGTTGTATTATTAACATTCTGATTCCAGTGACAGAGACGTTATGAAAAACATTAAATTTCAGACTTACATTGTGGCCAGTAAATTTTGAAGAAGTGCTACACAAAATTTATTGAGGGTTTCACACTTTTGTTGAAAGTTGACTGTTAGAACCATCATCTAGCAATGAAAAGAGTGTTTTCAACCTTTCTTCCATTTCTCCTTACCCTATTCTTCTGGGTGCCCATCAGTGTCCCTCTCCTCCAAGGCCATAATACTGCTGCTGTGAGAAAGGAAGAAAGTGGAGCTGAGATAGACCAACACTAATAATAGATCAAATAGGGAGGGAGAAGTAGCACTTGGTATCCAAGGCTCTGAAGAATGAAAAATACTGATAGTGACCAAAAATTGTCACAGGTGGATGTGGCAGGAAGAGATAGCTGTCTTTTTAATGTATCTATTTTAAACTGGAGTCATATTAAATTTAGATTTTGGGTTGTGGGTGTTGTGGGGTTTTTTTTCTTTAACACATTTGACCCCAAATACTGATGAGTTGTAAAGTATTTTCAGGAAAAAAAGTCTATAGTTCTAAACTCTTTGGTTTGCAACTTTTTATTTACCAGTGCAAACTGTTAAACCAAGCCTGAATGCAACACTAGAGTGACATTTATTAAAATTACTTTTAATAGTGCTGTTCATAAGCTACAGAATTTTGGACAGAGTAGACTGAATGTGCTATTAGCAGAGTTGTACTTTATTTGATTCTTTATAAAGAGAAGTTTTTAATGATATTTGCGTTGAAAATACAAAGATTCACATTATAGAATAATTTGCTGGTATTTTTATTGCTCTACAGTATTTGTAAGCTGTCACTGTAAATGTTGAGTAGAAATTTTATTATTAATATGAGTTGGTTTTTTAATCAAAAGTTTTAAAACTTACTGTTCTGTAGCATGCGCTCCATTTTGAGAAACCATAGATACAGAAGGGATGCAAGAACCCTGGAGGATGAGGAGGAAATGTGGTTTAATACTGATGAAGATGATATGGAAGATGGAGAGGCAGTGGTGCCCCCTTCTGACAAAACTAAAAATGATGAAGATATTATGGACCCTATCAGTAAATTCATGGAAAGGAAAAAATGTAAGTGATGAGAAGAATGCCGTGTGGCTTATGCAAGAAGCCATAAGTTGTATTCTTTAGTCCTACTGCAGTGAAGGATTTGCATATACTTATTCTGAAGTTCTTAGATTTTGAAATTGTGACACCAGGTTGGTGGACCACCCCTTCAAAACAAGTTTCGTTGTCTTTAAAAGCAGAGTGATAGAAAATATTGTTGTTGATATCTTAAAGCATTGGAATGACAATCTTAGCTGATACTCGAGTTTTCCTGTGTTTTATTCAGGGTTATAATTCAAAATTTTCAATGTAAGTGTTCAGGTGATATCATTGGTAGAATAAAAGTGTTCATTCCTGGCCAATGACAACAGCTGGTAGGTGGTATGGTAGTATGGGAAAAAAAAAAAAAGTCTCTGATGACTCACTTTACCAAGTTACGTGTAAAGTATTAAGCCAGATGGTAAAGTGATTTGTAATTAAATGTTTTGCTCAATAATATTGCTTTACTTTTGCCTTTTTTTGTTTGCTTATTTTTTTTTCTCTCCAGTAAAAGAGAGTGAAGAAAAGGAAGTTCTTCTGAAAACTAACCTTTCAGGTCGTCAGAGCCCAAGTTTCAAGCTTTCCTTTTCCAGTGGTACAAAATCTAACCTTACCAGCCAGTCATCTGCAAGTAATCTGCCCGGATCCCCAGGGTCTCCTGGATCCCCAGGGTCCCCTGGCTCTCCAGGATCAGTTTCTAAAAGCACATCTCAGATGGCAGCTATTACAACTAAGGTAGTATTGAATGGACAGAGGTTGACTTCATTGTTACGGACTAGGAGTTTGATTTGGCATCTCTCTCAAGTTTGTGTGAATTCTGACATGTTAAGCAGTAATGGACTGTCTGGTTTGTCTGGCCTTTAGCATTTTTAAGGACATCTGACATATAGAAAAAGAAGAAATAAAAGCTGTTTTAATGCCCAGACTCTTAAAGTATGAAGCATACAACTAGCTGCTGTTTGCAGCAATCTTTAGTGTGAAGTACAAACACTTTACTCTTGTCAAATTTCACGGGGATAGTTGGCAGGTAGGAATACAGAAATACTTTGGAAACATTGCCAAATTTTACCAGGCTCCATGATGTCCCACCACCCCCATTGACAATTTCTACTATTACCATTTTTAGTATTGTTCAGAATGGTGTAACTGGCACATGTGAAAGAAGTAAGTGGTATAATGGAGGGGTTGTTGCTCTAAGCCAAAGCACAAACAATTTTTAATATCCTAGCATGACTTTTTTACCTTTTAAAATAGTATGTAGTTTTGGGTTGGAACATACTGAAGTAGAAGAAGAAACCCTATTTAAAAAAGTCAGTGTAACTTGCAGTGAATATCCAAACCCAGCATTTTTAAATACATTTTAGGACGCTGTTGGATTTTATAAGATTTTTGGCTAAAACTCCATTTAAACAAAGACAAGGAAAGAGAGTTACTGGTGTTTTCTCAGCACTGGGGGACAGATAAGGTAGTGTTGGTACAGCGTCGTTCAGATAATGAGAGTTTACTTTCGTAACAAGTATTCCCATTTCTGAAAAGTCAGCTATGTATGTCAGTTCTCAGGTAACTTTGGAATAACTCTGATTCATCCTTACTTTGTAATGCCACCATACTGCTTGTTCACCTAACTTCTAGTAAAGGCAAATGAGGTTTTAGGTTTTTTCTTTCTTATAGTAGAACATGGCCTAAGAGTTTCTGTTTGGATTGCCTTCTGTTGGAAACACCTGAATGAATGAGAAGAGTTTGGCTGATGGAATAACTTAGTGACACTTCCTCTAAATCCTTCTGTGGAGGAAGAGGAAGCAGCTTTATTTCATTTATGGAAAAAATACAGTAGTTATTCAAGTGCTTTTTAGAAGAGAGAGAGTTGGCTTGGAATTTAGTACAGTCTATTCTGTATTTCTGGTGGAGGATCATTCTCTTCCAGACAGTATAATTCCTTGAATCTGAAATGAAGTCTTTACATATGGGGCATATGGCATACAGTATTGGCTCCAAAATTTCAAATCATGGTGGCAAAAGAAAAATGGTCAGGTTACACTAAATATGCAGTGCACTGAAAAACCATTCCTGGATTTAGGCATAAGCTACCTTCTTTCAATAAACTGTCCACTGTTTATAAACGTGGCACAGTTGCAAACTAGAAAGTGTTGAAATTGGTTTTTTTATTAATTATCTGATCCTGTTATTTTAGGTATAATATACTCGGTGTTATGTTGAATGTGACTGTACAGAATGTGTGTAATTGTTTATTGAGTTGTATTTTGGTACAGTTGGTTGAAATTATCTGGTTTGGATGTCTGTCGTTAGACACCTGAATAAGTAATACGATCCTAAAGTACCAGTAACTGTCAGTGTAGTCAAACGCTGGTTAAGCTTCAGAAATTGCAACGTAGTGTAGTTAGAGGGGGTTTTAGAAGTTCATGCTGCTTCTTTATAGGTCCAGAGCTGCTTAATCTTAAAATCTGTGGTTAATTGCAATACAAGGGAGCTTTTAATATTACTAGATACGCTTTCATTTTCAGCTGCCAAGTTGTTTAAATTTTGTAACCTGTACACCTCGGTTATATTATTCAAAAAATTCTTCAAGTTACTACACATTTAAACTAGCTTTTGCGAAGACAGACTGTGTTCTAAAAGTATCGTAACTAAAAAATTCAAATTGAAGGATATTCTGTATTTGTTTCTGAAGTGCTTCCAGATTGCTCGTTGCTGCAGCTATGCTTGGTAAAAAAAAATTTGCATCTTAGAGCTGCAGTGACACTTAGCAAAACAAAGTAGATTTTTGGATTTTCTTAAATTTCAACTGGAAGTATTTTCTATCCAGTTGGATAGGTAAAACTCCATTTAGATTTATTAATTTAAACATTTTCCACACAATGTCATTTTCATTCCTACTGAAGGATTTATTTTTGTTCTGCTTCATTTTATTCAAAACTTCATAAATCAGTATGCTTATGGCAATATTCTGTGCAAACATCATTTTCCAATACAAACGTGAAGTATCAATGTGCAAACATTTTCTTAATTATAGTAATTATGTCTGTCTTTGTAGGGAGGCCTCGTTGGGCTTGTAGATTATCCTGATGACGATGAAGAAGATGATGAAGATGAAGATAAAGAGGAAACTTTACCTTTGTCAAAGAAAGCAAAGCTTGAGTCATCATAATGGCAACTGCTGAAGAACATTTCGAGTAGGGGGAAGGATATTTTTTCCAAAAACAAAACAAACCCCACAGCAAAGCAGCAATCTTTTGTGAATTACTGTGTGTGACACAGATCCACCTATACAGACGGATTTCTGCCAATCAAGTGCCAATTCAAAGGAGCAGAAGAAGGGGAAATACTTCGTTTAGGGGAAAGACTTAACGCCTTTGAGCTCTCCAGCTTGGACCACACATTGCCCTTTTCTCAGGGAAGGAAATGGAAAACAACAAAAAAAAAAACACAAAACAAAAACAAGCCAACAGGGCAGGAGTTTTGTTAGTGGAACTCTGGATTGGCTGGTCAGTTGCTACAATCAGAATATGCTTTCTTGGACCATGTATAAGACTTCTGAAGAAAAGGCGGTTTTCGCCATAGTTCTTCACTAGTTAAGAATGCCAGCAGTTTCTTTGTATAAAAGAGACCTGCCTTTGAAATCGTACATTCTGAACATTTTAGTCGAGCTACAACAGGTTTTAAAAACCTCTACGGAGGAAGGCCGAATATAAAGTTTCCTCTTTTTTCTTTTTTTTTTTTTTAATCTGTTCCCTTTGCCCTTTAAACTGCAGATTTTTTTTTTTTTGGAGGTGGGGGATTTGTTTGTCCCTTCTTGATTAAAGATTGAGTGGAATTCTAGATGTGGTCACTTTTGTGTCATAATTTTTTTTTTGCCCCCCTGAGTGTATGCTTAGTTGTTGAGTATATATTTGGGACCATTAAAATTTTTTGATGTAATATAATCTCACTGTTGTGCTGGTACCTGTTTCACCCTGTGTAATTTTGTTCTGCATCACAGTTCTTAATATGTTCAGGATTTTATGGAAGATGGTATAGTTTTTATTGGAAAAAAAAAATCTTACCACAATGTGCATAAAAGCAATACTATTTTGTGACTAAATATTTTATATTAAATTTTACATCAGCAACTGTCAAGAAAAATTCAGGGAAATAGGATGGAATAAAACAATTGAAACCTATAAATATGAAATTAGTATTCCAAAGAGACTTTGAAATTTCGTAACTCAGAACAATGATGGTAGACTAACTCATCAAAATGCAAGATGGATGATTTAGGAATACCAATATATTGACTCATTTGACTTACAAAAATAAAAAAGAAATAATTAAAGCTGAAGGAAAATGGCATTAGTGGTATTTTTTTAAAACCTGTGATTCCCTTTGGAATACCAGTTTTAGTGAATCAAAGATGGTTGTAGAATAAACTCTTTACAAGGATACCATCTTTTGAAATTTATTCTAATACTCAATTGAAAAACAGCAATTAAACTTTGAGTCTAACTCAATGACTACATTCTTTCCCCTTTTTCCAAAAAACTAAATAATATTAGTTATTAATCTGAAACTAAATGCTATATCCTGCTTCCTTACTGCTTTTACAGAAGATGGCTTTGATTGCACAGCAGTGCTTCCTGTGAAGGGGAGTTTATTCAGTTCCTTTGCAAACAAGAGCCCGTTTCTTACATATATTTTCAAGAGTTGATTTCCTTTTGCACCAATGTTGCAACAATTGTGATGTTGTTAATGTATCACATACAAATAGAAATAAGAGAAATGAAAATCTGAGGCTGGATCATATGTGAGCACACCCAAGTGTAGATTAGCACTTTCTAAAAATTGTGCGTTGCATGACAGGTTCTGTGCTGACTGCAAGAGTCAAAGCTTTTGTGCTTGGACTTTATTAATACATATTAGTAATTTCATATTTAAGTAAGAGTGTTCATTAGGGAAAAATAGCCGTATTTCCTCAATAAGTTCATTTGAAATCACTTTCCAAGGCTGAGTTTTTACAAGGTGTTTGAAATGTCTGTGACAGGACAGTTCTTGGTGTTAAATTTTACAGAGAGGGCAAGAGTTGAGCACTTGGTCACTACAAGATTAGATACCATCTGCTGCTGCAACAGTGTGAAAGTCTCCATGCTGTCTCAACAACCTGTCTGAAACCTGATTTTTGCAACTTTGGTGTCAGAGCAGACATTGTGACAAGGAAATCTGTAATTTTGCAGGTTTTCTTAATTAGCCTGAATTTAAATCCTTCCCAATCTGTCAAACTTTCCTTCAGCATAAAGCTCTCAGAATTTATCTATATAGTCATCTTCAAGTCCTCCAGGCTCTATCTCAGGAAGCCATTCTTCAGATTTGGTTGAAGGAACATTTTTTGTTAATGTGTTTTGTGTTCCTTCAGCTATTGAGTGCTTGATCTTGTGATGTTTGATGCTACAATCTTCTAAACTTTCAGAATACTTGTAGGAATCTTGGATTTTGGACTTTCAGCACTTGAAGCATTGTGTTTAACAGCAGAAACACTATCCTTAAGTTACTGGGTTTGGTCAAAATAACAATGGAAATAGGAATATTTTTGAACTTTTATATTTTTATGAAGCTCTATAGGACTGGTAAAATAGTAAGCTGTATGTCTTATAATGCTGTCTAACTTTTAGTTAGATGGTTAGTTGTCTTCCAAATTATCTAATGCTTGTGGCCTGACAGGACATGTCTGTGCTTAGATGATATATTCGTGGAAGCTGGAAGTAGTCAGGAAGTAGGTGAGTTGGGGACAGTGGTGGGTATGCTCTTGCCCACTGACTTGCACTGTTGTATTCATGGAAATCTTGAAATATATTTCAGAAAAAAAATGATATAGTGGGATTGTGAGAAGTGATGAGTATAAAAAAAGAAGTGGGTATGAGTTAAGAGGTGGAAAAAATTATGTTGCAAAACAGTGTTCCATTCTAGATCTTTCTCTGGGTGATGGGGGTTTTTTATTCTTCGTTTTAATACCATTTGTCTGCATCCCAAGACAGCTGTGTGTATATTGTTTTAAACATGGCACGGTCATCTTTAATTGCATTTTAACTGTATCCTTAAGTACAGTTTACAGGGTAAACTCTTAAGTGTAGTACAGGCAAGATACAACGTGCTTGAATCATCCGTAGGGGCCCCTATATTCCTTCAGTGGTTGAAAGACTCGATGGTGGTTACTCTGATGTACCCTTCCTAGCTTTGAGCCTGGGTTCGCCAGGGATACCAGGCAAAAGTACACAGAGTATCTGATCCTCTGAGGAAGCACACCCTTACACTAATGAAAGTAATTCCAGGTAATCTGGTATATTTCTTCCACTGTACACAGAAGGACGGTTGCAGTCAGGTGAAAGTGCACATCACTGAAAAACAGATCTCCTACGTCATGAGGGCAGAAGGATCTGAAAGCTGGTGTATCAGACTGTTCATCCATCTCTCATAGCCTACCCAGGGGAGACAGCATGTTCTCATGGAATCAAGTAGGCCCACTCCTTTTAACATGCCAAGGATGAACCTGTTCAGATGGGTTTTGGCTGTGTTTCTACATCTCTGCAAATTTCAGAAACAGACTGTTATCAGTTAATTAATCACTCTCATATTGCTGCTGTGGCTCCATTAAGGAATTAGCTGCCTTAGAGCACAAGTTGCATTGGGTGCCTTGCTAAATCAGGTTCCCTAGCATCCGTAGAGTGGCCACAGAAGTTCAGCCTTGCCTTTATCAACCGTTCTACAGCTGCGGAGGTATCCTGGAGCAATGCTGTCTGTGCAGCAGTACTGCAGCTCCTCTGCCTTGAGGATATTAAGATTCATTCCAGGGAAGTTGTGAAAGTAGAGACCGGGTGGGTTACTGCTTGGGCTCACCTGCAGCGTAAATGTAGAAGTGGGCAAGCACTCAAAGAAGAGAAGTTGCCAACAACTGAAGTTTTTCAAGATAAGTTGTCCCTGTGCATGTTCTCTACCTGCTCATGCTGCTTTCTCTTTCTGGAGTGCAGAAGAAATGAAGGTATATGCGGTTATAGTTCAGTCCAGAAAGGAGGCAGCGCATGTGGGCATGCTGCAGGTACAGCAAAACCTGTGGAAGGATTCGTAATGCCTGCCTTCAACCACAGCCACAATTTCAGACTGTTACTCATGCAAGGGAGGTGTAACTGACTATGTTTCCATAGGAGGCTGGCTATCTGGCGAGTTTGTATCTCAATTTAACGTTGCTCTAGTTGCAGTCACATTCATTGGAGCCTGTAAATCTTGTGGGGTTTTTATATAAATTGAAATTAATAAAACTTCAAAGCTGAAATGAAACCCTGCGGACTGCTGGAAAAAAGGCAATCTTAGGGAGGGGGAAGATGTTGTCTTCTGTATGCCAATTACATTTATGAACAATGCAAAAATAATATATAAGCCAGTAGATAATATTTAAAAAAAAAAAAAAAAGGTAGAATGCTACTAGGAAATGATTGAAATAGCTACTGACTTTCAGAGATTTCAGACCCATGCTGGTAGCCTCGCTGTGCACTGTTGCACCTCCCGGAGGTGAAAGGCATCTGTCTGTCTCGGAACTTCTCTGCGATGGCTCCATGTGAACAACTGTTTGTGGTTTGGGTTGAGACCTGGAAATTATTCAGTATAGGGTGGATTTATGCCTACAAAATGTGCATCTGTAATATAGACTGGGGATGATTTGGGCTGAATAACATTGATTTTGATACTCCACTTGTAAGCAACTTTAAATTACATGCGTAAAGATACTGTGTGTGGGCTGCCCACCTAAAAGGGTTCAGAAGCATTCAGTAGTCGTGTGTTGGTTAGTATTGCTTCTGGAAGTATGTGCACACCAGAGCCCTTACATTATGCTCATGTTTTCAGACAAGGCTAGTCTTTTGTGCTTCAGATGTACGCTTTAGTGGCTGAAATCTTGGAAATTTAATTTTAAAGTGCGCTCACCTCAGGTTTCTTTTAAACCCGCTGATGAGAAGTGGCCGTTTGACAGCTGTGGTGCTCAGATGGGAGGCTGATGCTGTTGGGTTGGAGAGTGCAGTACAAGCTTTTGCTGGTGAGGCCAGAGACGGTACAACTGTACCTTCACTCTGTCACTGAATGGGTGTTGAGCGGTCAAGGATCCCCGACGGAAGCTATGATCAGGGATGTGCAATTTGTTAATCTCGCCATTCCGCAAGATCTGATCAACGTTGCGATGAAGGATGTGGAGGTACCTGGAAGCAGCTCCTGATGATCTGATTCACAGGAGTCTATGCTAACAACAGTGAACAGTTGGGAGACACTTCAAAAACCCCTCTGTTTCCAATCTGCTGCCACTTTTACATGTCTGAAAATGGTCTTAAGTTAGATCATCTTATCCTGAAAAAAAGCTTGTTTCCTCGCCATGGCTCCCCCACCTCCATGATTCCCCCAAACGAGAAGTGACTTCATCTGCTGCCATCAGTCAGGATTTTGTAGATTAGCCAGGAGAGCTGGAAGCTCCAATTCTTATTGAAGAAATAACCGCTGGTTAAACCCAACCACAGAGCACAGCTTTTAGTATGTTTGAGTTTAGCCTCAAAATGGAAATAAATTTTCTATCTCTTCAAGGTCTAGATTACCTGCAGCAAGAAATAAGGGGAATGTACATGTTTGGTTTTCATGGGCAGGAGAACTACGTGCCAAAGCTAGTAATAGAGTAATGTGTGTTTGTCTGTCTGCAGAAGTTTTTTATGTCTGTGCTCTTTATAAAGCACCTTTCAAATTTTTTTTAGTATTTGTATAGCTAGCAATATCTTTATCAGAATATATAGGCGGTATTTCATCTTTAGAGCATGT